TCTGATCATTGTCTGAAGCAACCCCATTTCAGCTGCCTAATGGTGGAGAGTATATAAAGATAAATTATGGTTCAGTATGTTCTCAGAGCAGCCGCAGGATTCGTCAAGCCCTGTTATGATCCTGAAGCAGTGGCCAACGAGGTAATGACAACCAGGTCCGCAGAGCGTCTCAAGCATTTAGAACCATAGAAAGTATATTCGAATTTATCATTCTAAAAAACAAATAAGAAAAACAACTCCCGGATGAGATATGCGGAAGCCTTGAATTACGCTCAACGGTTTTTGTTGCAGAAAGCACAGAGACTCGAGTCACTAACGTTACTTGCATGGTCGAGATCTGGGAAATCCAGCATAATAAGCATTCTAAATTTCTGTATGGTTTCGTCATGGCATTTATCATGAACTAACTAACAGTAATTAAATTTTAAAATGAATAGGCTTGACTTTTAAGCACATTATAAGGTGAGTTTTTTATTTAGATTAATGGTAGAAAAAAATAGGTTTTTTTACATCTATGCTAATTAAAATGCGTCGATATTCACTCAAAACCTAAAAAGCATTCGTTATTTGTCTAAAATTAGATGTCGTTATTGTTTTAGGACAATTGCTTCAGGAGTATTTTTTTAACATGATTTCAATCTTCCAATATACTAAACCAGTTATTGTCAGATTGAGGACAGTTCGATATTTACTGAATACCTATTTGATGTATACCAAATTACCGATATTCTCGGCAATGTTGCACCGCAGGACATTGAGAAACGTTTCAGGCTAACCATCATTTACTTTAGCTTATAAGTAAACCATTTTATTGTGTAAATATTACCGTCTATAAGGATGAAGGCACAACTAAACGACGAATAGCTATATGTCATCCAAAGAATTCTCAGAGGAACATTTGCACTAATTCTAACTTAAAGTCGATGTATTTTTTATTGAATTTAAGCGAATATTTTTCTATAGATAGTTTTAATAGGTGGTTAGTACAGAATCAGATAATGCACTTGTTGAACAGGGAACAAAATTCATAAAATCTTGCATTTCAAACTGAAGAACTACCAAGTAAATCAAACTTGAAGAACGCTTCCCTCTTTTGGACGAAGAACGTAAATAGATGCCGGGTTCCTGAATTAGATTGGGAGTAAGGCCTAAAAAGCAGTCAAGAGCAGTTAGAACTAGGGTAGGGGCGTAAATGTTCAACAATTGTACTGAAACACTAAATGAAAAACGACTAATAGTGATGACAGGTAGTAGGTCAATCTTCATTGTTCTCCATTTTACTAACAGTGGAATCAAAAGACTTCCCCTCTTTTAAATCAACCAAGACACAATATTGTCATAAGTTTAGAAAGACACTGGCAACCCAAGTATCAACGAAGTTCAAGCACAATAACGATCTTTGCTGAAATACGCCATTCTCTTGGCTGAATATCAAAATGTTCTCGTAGGATTATTTTAGAACATTTCTACTAGTACTACTACTACGTTTTACGTACAAAAGTAATTTTCAGTTCAATCAATTTCTGCCATATTGCAACCATTTCAGCAATTTATTCGCGGCTGTCATTATGGAAATTTTTATTAATATATCAGTTTAATCGTTCATAAAATATATTTTTCTGGAGGTGCTTAAATTTTCTGTGGATGTAACACACCCTATGTCATAAAATAATATGCTTTCTTGCAGAAAATCTGTTTAATTTATACTTCCTCGAATATTATCATAAGTACATGCACATAATTAATTTTCATTTGGCACTTTTTGGTTAAAATTCCTATCCATACCATTAGACTAGCTTTTCTTATGTTTGCAAGTGCCATATTTATATTAGCCAGTTAAAAACCGTAATTATGGCTAATGATGGTGGTGCTGAGCAAGCACAGTTTCCTC